AGACGGTATTATGAAATGTTAATAATGTTTCTTCAAAAAAAGTATAAGATAGCAAAAAGTTTAAACCACAAAAGACATTCAATACGACTGAATAGACATATTTGACAGGCTTGGTTTGTCTTTTAATGTTTGCCTATGATTTACAGGCTTTGTTACCCCTGACCCTTTTTCGAAATTTCAGATTATTTTTTCCGCCAACTATTTAAATGGAGAAAAAAACGGAATCCCTAAAGAACATCCAGAACGTTCATGGCGCAAGTTACCGACCACGCTTATGCACCGGTTTCATCTTGATAGCCGTAAAATTTTGAAACATCCGCAAATGTGTTAAAAATTCAATGTTTCTAAATTCCAAATGACATCATTTCCATGTTTAAATGATAAAATTTGCTTTCGTTGGTGCTAGGAGGCGATGGCAGTATTTGATTTTATTTTTTACCAAGAGATATTATTATCAATGTTTAAAACTTGACAAAGCATGGACAGACTGCATATATTTGTAGTCTCACCTGGCGGCTCTCTAGATATGGCTAATGCCAAAAGGTATTAAAAGATAAACCTTACTTTACAAGTTTACAAATTTAACAAATCCCTTAACACAGCTTTATCAAATCGTCCATGGAAAATTATCATCTTCAAATTACTTACATGATATTATTTTTCTGAAGCATGCAAAACGAGTCATCCGAATATTTCCAATCGGGCATTAAATCTGATAACATTTAAGACATTTTAGAAATGGAGGCAGAAGAAACATTCACTGCTAACCAAAATGGTTATTTCGGATAATAATGTATGATGTTATTCAAGCTTTTGATTTTTGCAAGCGCGTTTTAACATTCCTTAGTCTAAACCAACTCACGCTCCTCTTCTGACAGTTGACTTAGCGCTTTAGATACTGTCAGTAGGTCATTAATAATCATTGATAATCCGAAAATATGACCTTAAGATGTGGCATTTTGTGAAGTGATATACCTAAAATAGAAGTCATCTTCTCATTTCTACAGACTCTTTCAAAAACTTCATTACAACAACAATATGTAAACCTTGAGAGAATTGAAACTTTTCTTTGTTCTATATTAAGCCTTAGTTTGACTTTAGTTATTTATTATATTTCATCAGTTTTCGTTATTCTTAATGTTATTAATTACTTCTGTTATTTAAGTGAGTTTGGTCAGTTTCTGCTGTGATGATCATATCATCGAGAATCCACTGTAACCCCGGAAAAATTCGATTGATTAAACTTTTCTTTCTTTAACATATTGCAGTTGCTTATGATACTTTATATCTCATATAAACCTTTGAGAGTGTTTAATGTTAACATTTTATTTGTTTTGTTTTGACATCGTACACAAACGGAAGATATGCTTGGCAAAAATCTAACTTTCATTATTTCTTTCCATTTGATAAATTTGCCTATGACTTTGAAACTTTCATAGAGTCTTATCCCTTAATGAACACAATATGTGAAGCGCACGTTTTGATGTGTTCAATTACGTTGTCATGTCCGGTTCTTCTAACTGTTCCGGCCAGCTATTTTTTCTTAACCAGACTGTTGTTTAACACTGATGTCCTCTTCTCCGATTTTACATTTCAAAAACACTTTGGAACACCTGGCATTCTGTTATGTGTATTTGTAGCAGGTTTATCCGCTGATGTAATATAATAAATTATGTAATGACCCATATGTTTTTCCCAAAGTAACAGTAATTATGTTGACCCTTTTTCTCATTGAGTATTTTATTTAATAAAAAATATGTTTCTAAACGTTCGTGATAAGATGTGCTTGATTCCGCATTGTCATCAAATCTATATAAATATCAAATTATATCAGGACAGATTAATTCGAGAGACCTACGTTGATTACAATAGACCAAATACAAACTCTTATTGATAAAATTCCCGAAACTTAATGTAAGGTTACCGTCTTGGCCAGATTGTTAGAGAAGCAACACATCTATAGTTCTGAACGATCATTTATGAGATAGTTTAATGCATATATAAGGTTAACAGGCGGGTTGTCTCATTAGTAATACATTTTGACTTATATGGGTAACAGAAATAATTACAACACTAAGTTATGAATAAGTGTATTGTATGGATTTTCCTCTATGTTATTGTCACATCCGTGTTATTTGTGCCGTGTGGCGGCTATAAAAAGTCTCCCCGTACATTTAATCAATGATGATGTCATATTTTCGATTATTGAAGATCGTTCAGCACGACATTATTGTTGTGTATACATTTAAGATGGTATTTTTAGTTTCTTGTATTTTGCCTTTTTCAGCTTGGGTGGTCCCAGAGTTCCTATTTGAATAATGTATAATCACCCTTAGGATATGTTGCCTGCTTTATAAATTTGTCTTTTGACGTCTTGTCTGTATTATGCAGTCTTCATAACCTCAGAACCCCTTTCAAAATTTCATTTTATTTAGTTTTGCCCATTGTTTTCTCGTTTAGGGCGCATGCATTCTTTTGCTTGAGTACCATACGCCGCTTTTCATGGAATGACACTACTGTGTCACATTGTAGGTTCTATGAGAACTGCCGTATAAACACATCTGCGGATGTTTCTTAATTCAAAATTACACCATTTTTTGTGTTTAAATGTTGAATTCTGCTTTAACCGGTGCTAGGGGGCGTGGTCGGTAACTTGCACTTTCCAGTAGCGTCCATGAACAGGCTCAATCAAACCGAGCCTGAAATGTTTTTACAATTTTGCCGTGTTGGGCTTTCTTTAATGTACTTTACATTGTACCAAACACAACACCATTCACCTCAAGGACGTTTCAGGAATAATACTTTACTTAAATCTAATTATGCTGATATTTTTACGAATTCCAGAAATTGTAGCCTACCCTCAAAGAATTGAGAGAAACAACATTTTCAATTTGGTCGTTTTTGTGTGTTCTTGAGGGATTATTTATTACTTAAAATCTAACTAAAATTTACACCAACCACTGCCTTTTGTATCCATGTTTTGTAATTTGATTTCGTTAACACTATTAACAGCAAATTTGCCTTGTGCTAAAACATCTTCTTTTTAACAGATGTGAAGAGATCACGAACGATGTTGCTAGTATAATGACTCACCATAAAGTACATTAAACATCATATTATAATTCTAAATGGAACAACAGTCTGATATGTAAGAATAAAGTGTGGCCAATGATGGCGTTAGTGTCGCTCAGCTGGCTATGAATGATGTACTGGACGGGGAACAATTAATGTTGATAATTATAAATGCACATTAAGTATAAAAGTGAATTTGTCTAAAACGGGCGCACTTTTTATAAGTTGTTCAAATATTGATAAAAGCATTAAAAACGCACCAGAAATGTATTGCTTTAAGAAATACTGCACACGTAAAAAGTCACTGCAACGAACTTCATATATTGCTATGAAAAGGCATTGATTTCAATCGAAGTCGGTTGTTTCTAGTGAAAGTCAGTTGTTGCAATGGTAAGTCACAGGAAGCATGGACTGTAAATGTTTAACATTGAAGCCACTAGTTAAATTCAATGTTTTCCATGGTTGCTATTGGAAGTCACTAATTACCATGGATGACCAATGGTTTCTATGGTAGTCACTGGTTTCTATGGATGTCACTGGATTCTAAGGAAAGCCACTGGTTGCTAAGATCACTGGTTGTTTTGGAAGTCACTGGTCACTGTCATTGGTTGTTATGGAAATCACTGGCCATCGTCATTTGTTGTTATGAAAGTCACTGGTAACTATGTTATGTCATTGGTTGGAATTAATGTTACTGAATACTTTTGAAATTCATTGGTTGCTTTATAGAATTATCTGGTACTATTAAAATGGTTGTTCCGGGTGAAGGCAAATGTTGAATTCAGAGCTAGTGTTTGATCGCAATTTTTAGAAATACACATGACAAACATTTAAACTCTATATTTTTGTTTTTAACAATATAGATATAAAGAAACCCATGACCCTAAGGCTTTTATGGGAAGACCTTGTTATTTAATAGACGATATTCATACCAAATATTTTATCGTTTGGCATTGCGCTTTGGAAGATGCTTTTTAAAGATGGCTCTAGATAGAATGGATACTTTTGTTTAATGAGCACTTAACGTTTACAAATAGTTATATTTCAATAATTAGTTCTTTTTAAAGGTGCATACCTCCAGATGGGCCAAAACCTTTCAATAAAATCAGCCGTGAGAAAAAAATGTACTAAGATTTTTAAAAAAAAGTAAAAATAGTCACAATTCAAGTAATTTACATGTTATATATACTGATTTTGCAGTATTTATAACCATATTTCTACTACATTACTAACGCAATTCACAAACATAGTAATTGATATGGTAATTCTTTAAAAGTGACAATCTAATGTAGACACTGTAAATAAACATAAATATGATGTTCTGCATAGGCCAGACAAAATGTTCCCTGTTACATTATTGGCTAAATTTCGGAGCCCCTAAGGTGATATTTTCGCACTTCCCGTCAATTCATAATAACGAAATATTCATTCGTTTTTACGAGATAATTATTCGTTTTGAAGAGATGATAATTCGTTTTTACAAAATATTAATTAGTAAAAATTAGAAATTCGTTAATACAAAATTTATTTATTTAGTAAAAATTAGAAATACTAGAAATACTTGATCGTTTCTACAAAATAATAATTCGTTGATACGAAATATTAATTCTTTTTTACGAAATATTAATTCGTTATTACAAAATGATAATTCGATTTTAATAAATATAAATAAATAAATAAAAATAAATTCGTTTTTAAGTTATATTAATTCCTTTTTACGAAATAACATTTCGTTTTTACAAATTAATATTTCGTAAAACGAATTAATAGTTCAAAATTACGAATTAAAACCTTAATGTCACCTTAGGGGCTCCGTAAGAGATCTCTTAGTAGCCTTTCATTTTCTTATAGACAAAGCAGTGACATTTTTATATTCTCATAAAGAAACTATAGCACTTATCTGACGATCCACACCCCTAGCTGCTATTTTTAATAGGGTTTTAACTGTTTAGCAATGATGTCATGCTTGAGCTATTCGTTCTTAATAAAGTTCATGTAAACATATTTTTTTCATAGGGTATTTTGGAATTATTCTTTTCCAAAATTATGTAAACTACAGGTAGCAGATTTAAAGTTTTATACACTTTATAAAACTATTTTTGCGATAGAAACGTGTGTAATGATGAGTCACTAACAAAAGTATTACTTTACAGAAACATAACTCTAACAACCGCAAGGTGAGACATTTATATGCTTCCCAGTTTTTCTACGACAGATACCGTGCATAATTTAACTAATTTAATCATAATAGAAACTTTGGTCATGTGTTTGGGAATGCGTTCATTAAATCATTAAATGCTACCCTTCCTTGTTTCCATATTTTCAAAAAAATACTAATCTATTTAATATCAGCTAATAACACTACGGCAAGTTTAAGCGTTAAGCATGTTGTATGGAATAATTAAACAGAGAAGCTGTTTTGGACTATGGGTTGTTGAGAGAGATACAGATCATTTGAAACTTAAGTTAGAGTCAACTACCGCTGGATACAACTGCTTCATGAAAAAATTAGGAGAAAAGAAATAAAAGAACATCAGCTACCGATGTCTAATAATACAACAATGCAACGAATCAAAAAAATACAATAACAAAAATACAGTTCATTTACTTTGCTTTAAAATATACACCACTTTGAACAAAATATAACTGTTTAACACAAACGTATGAATGTTTCAAAAACTGATTATTAAATAGTGTGAGGGAAGCATTGAATTCCTGTGTACAACAATGCTCAGTTGACAATTGTTTATGTCTTGTCTAAAGACGTATTGTTCTGGGATATTTCAATGAGTAATACATTTCCAAGGCTTTGGCTTTATAAAGTACGTACTATTGTCTTATATTCGACTAAAATATTGTGTATGTCAAGGTTATTCATGACCAAAATGACATTTGTTAGCCAGAAGATATGATGTTACATGTCGAATGATCCACACTAATCATCGTACATTTGAATAATAGATTTTCATGATCATTAAAACTTCAATCTTTCAGAAATTTGAAGAACGGTGTGTTGTTTACCATATGTTTTCATTAAGAACAAAAATTGCTATAAATTTACAGTTTTTTGTATTAAACACATACTGTAATATTTTCTAGTATTCTAGTCAAAAACTAGATACACAAACTAATAAGCAAAAACAATTTTTTAATATTAACGTTTTGCCATTCAAATCTTGATACGTTTACGCATAATTACTGTTCTTACCGTTTAGGCTCATCATTAAATTTTGTTGGTATTTTTAATATGCAATAACAATTCGACTGATCTTTTGTTCCATTTTAGAACAGTATTAAATCAACCAATTTTTATTTGTTTTTAACATATACACAGACAAACAGTAACTATACAAAGTTATTTGTTAAAATAATTCTACATTATGTTTCCACTGAAGCTGCACATTTAAAAGTACTTTATTCATTTGAATTGTCATTTCATAACATGATTTGTTTTAATTATAATAATAACAAACAATAATCATAACAACAATAATAAAAAACACACAAACACAAATCAATGAATTTTGGGTTCTTTTAGAGAAACGTTTGAATATTCAATGAAAACTAAAGTGCTGTCTCTAGTAGCAAAATTGTTTAAAAGGTTAAAACGTATTTATTTAAGCCAGATTGCAAAACAAGTTCTTTCAACTTATAACATTCATTTACGAAAGTAGTACTGGTATCATATGAAGGAACATGGTCGTGACCGGATTAGGGCTTGAATCCATGTTCCTTGGGTTGAGAGGCAGATACCTTAACCATTAGGTGCTCCTCTTAGCAAAAACCGTGTTTGTTGTGCATATCAACAGCAATTCTTGCAAAAAATGACAGCAGTACGTACTACAGTACCAGTTCTGGCTACAATTAGAAACACCACATACTTATGTAAAAGGAGGAATAATAAAAATATACCGGAATAAAACGATTGTAACAGTTTTGTTTTCAATAAACAAAGAAAAGAAGAAATTACGGCAATTAAAACGCAAACGTAATATCCCTATATACAGGAATCACTCTCCTTAGCTATCAACTAAAATGTATACATATATTATTAGATACAACAAATAGGTGTTCATATACACTCAAGTCAACACAGACAATATATCATATGTTTTGCATATAAGATGTTTCCATATATAAGGCCATGTCTTATCCAAGAAAGTCAACAGCAACGAAAGACTGGTTGCCTGTTTTTCTATCCTTTGCTTCAACAACTATTTCCGTTCCGCTAAATGTAAAGGCAACTAAAACTTCCCGATCCAATGCCCCGTCATGATCGACTAAGTCAATCTGCAACGTACCAATAAGAATACAACCCTCGTCTGTGTAAACCGGGTTTGGTTTTTCTGATGCAAACACAGAAAATGACATCTGTGTCTGGGATTTGTATTGAGGACTATATGTATGCCAAACTTGAGGTTCCCCTATCTTTACTCTTTGATATATCTCAGCATGTTTGCTAAATACATTTGGACATACAAAACCGTTGTCTGTAGTGATAAGCCTTTTCGGTGGATGATGTCCTGCTACAAATGTTTCAAATGACCCGATACCGTACGTGTACTTGAGAACACGTTCAGTAATGACCTTTGGCAAGTGGCCAAAAATCAACGCTCCTTTTAGTATACAGTTGGAAGCTTCGGACGGAATGATTATGTCCATTTGTTTAAACTCTGCTCGAACAGCGTTCTGTAAAACAGGAGATTCGGAAAATCCACCAACCATTAAAATAGCTGTTACATTTTCATTTTTGGACATAATACTTTTTACTAAGTGAACTGTTTTGACAACAGAAGTTTCAAACCAAGATCTTGCAAGTTCTGCTGAAAAATTGATTTTGTCCCTGACAATTTGAATATCACTAGCATATTCTGAACCTTTCACAGCTATTGCTAATTTTTGTTTTGTGACAAGGTAATACTTATCTGTCAGCGAAGAAGGAAGTCTCATTCTTACAGGTGAATTCGAAGATGTAGTAATCGTTCTTTTCTTGACCTCAAAGTCTCTCCAAATATCCAGCCAATCATCTGTGTGGTCCCTTTTAAACGCCTCGTAAACGTCATTTGTTATAATAGCAATCAGTAATCGTTTGAATGCTTCATCAACAGTTGTACCACCCCATCCGCCTCCACTTGCAGCATGTATCTCCTTTACATTGTTATCAGTATCTACCTCATGTACAGTGATATCGATCGTGCCACCTTCAATATGAAAACATTAATACAATTTTATTTGATGTAAATATAAATAGTGAATAAGAATAGATAAATTATTTTTTCAAATAAAATACAGACATTTTCAACTAAAGAAATACAAAGTTGTGGTTTCACATTCAATATTTTATAGCTCGAGTCGCCTGTGTTATATGTCAAACATAGTCCTATTGTATAAACTCGCAGCCACGTCAAAGAGCATTTATCTTAAGTTTTAAGTTGTAACCATTTATAGTAACACAGAAGAAAATGGAAAAAATAACAATTTTCAAGTATTTAAATGATACTATTTATAGTAAAAAATTAAGAAAATTAAAAAAACAAAACAACATATAACCTTCAAGTAGAATCGAAGTTTAAAATGAAAATGATAATGTAAACGTGATATATATGATGTAAGTGTTGATGATGAACAAATATTGGAAATATAAGAAAGTAATATAATAAATAAGGACAATTTAAAATTTAAAGGGGAGATAATTTTGGAAACATGGTCGCTAAATTTATGAACCGTGTCATATTATTATGATGTGGGAGTTTAAAGTTTGAATACTTTAAGAAATGAAGAAGTTTCAGTAAAAGAAAATAATTCTAAAGAAAAAATATCAAAGTGCAATGAGGCATAATTCCGGAAATAGCCAAGCGATTTGAATGATAAGGAACATATATACTTGAAGTTTGAATATATACCTTACGAAAAAAATACCCCAGCTATAAGTCTGAAGTAGATACATTAAGAAATAAAGAAGTTATAAAACAAACAACATTTTCTTCATGAAAATTCTAAGTAAAAGGGGGCAATTCTGATATTTTGTTCTAAAGTTAAGGACCTTGTCACTTTAATAAAAACATATAGACGCGGTCACCAACGCTGGGTGAGTAGGACAGCTCTAAATATACTCCCTATAGTCAAGCTTAAATTGATGTACATAGTCTCAATAGCTCCATCTGTCCACATTTCGTGTTTCATAAAAATATTTTCAGTACTTACAGTAAATATTGTTATATATGCTTAATTTTAAATATATTTGTTGCCATAGTAACCAAATGTTTCAGCATAGGCAGTTAAGAAAAAAAAGAATAATCACCAGACTGCTATCTGCCTAAATTTTAAGTTTCATAAAAGTATATTGAGTACTTTTTGCGATTTTACGGGATCCATTTTTTGTGTTATACATTGTTTGCCATATTTTAAGTTTATTTGTTGTCATTGCAATCAGATTATTCAATATAGGAAGAAAGAAAACTATGTGCATAATTTCTAGATTGCCATCTATACATATTTTAAGTTTCATTAAAACATTTTCAGCGCTTTTTCCGTTAACACGGTTTTGTGGATGGACATACGGACATACCAATATTTGGGGTGTATTGCTTTCTTATATATTTATGTGGCACTTTTCCACATAAACAAGTAAACTTTAACGAACACACTTTGTTCATATAGCGGAGGTAATTCCACATACCCGACAGTTGTTGATAACTAGCTGGTAATTACACAATAGTTCAAAAGAGAGGGACTTCTTATCTCATATGATTGCTAAGACAAATGACCATAAGACTCAATTTCTGTGATCATTCATCATGGAAAAACTTTGCCTCTCCGGGGGGAGGGGGGGGGTCGAGCTAGTGACCCTGGATTCAAATGCTCTTCACATTGAGATAAGCGGATTTAGCGATGACAATGGTGTTGAAAAAGAATTCCTCCTATTTGTTCGACATGCTAATTCAATGACATTTTTACAGAATAGGGGGGGGGGGAGATTTTCTTTTCAATTAATAAAAGGTGTGTAATATTTGATAATTTCACAGTGAAAAATATATAATTTCACACTTTTCAATGCAGAGACTACATTTAAAATATTTTCCCCATGTGATACCTTTTTTGGAAAAGCATTTTGCTTATAATTCCGACATTATCAGGGTTGTTTATAGCAAAGCAAAGCTAAAATTGATAAATAACTTAAATTTCAAATATAATAAAACAGATTAAACATATTTCAATTCATTCAATTTACCAATCACCTAGTATATCTCTAATTTTTATTTTCATTTAAACAGCCTGAAAATAACACTTCCTTCTTCATTTCAAATTTCAAAATTGCTCCTGATTACATTTGTCCATATTTATCCTACGAGCAATAACTGTAATGCAAAATGTAAAAGCAATTACAGTCTCCAGCCCGAGAGATAAGTAAACAAGCTTTCAAAAAATCCATTTTTCCAATTTTCTAGTCTTTTTCTTTTGAATGCAGAATTATCAATCCAAATGAAATCCTTTCGAATCAAAAACTTTTATTTTTTTCTCGTTTGAAATTTTTAAAAATTTCAATCGCGTAGCATATTGTTATATAAACTTCCGCTATTTCGTGGCATGGTGTTACTTTTTCTTCTTTCTAATTATTTTTAGAAGCGCTCATTCATATTTTTGTTTAAATTAAATACATGTTATATCATTACCACCTAACGTTTATTCTTGAACTTATTTTCTTGCTAAAGACTTCGTATATGTTAGTGTTCTTCCGTGCTGTTCTACAGATATTAGAAACTTCGACGGGAGCGATAGCGACAGGTGTTTCTAATTTCTGTAGAACAGCTACGGATGAATACTAACATACTTAGCGTCAAGCTTTATTTGGCATCATTACACCAATAACATAATAACGTCACTACGCGGTTCTATGAAGTATTATAAAAATAGAAGTCGGAATTCAATAATATTGTATCGACTTTTGTTCTTCTATGAAAATTAACACACATAGTTTTAAAAAATACAGCGTTTTCATTGGATGACACAAAGTTGGACACGAAATGTATTTATGAGAAATTCGTCTGAAGTCGAGGCTACCAGGGGTGAAAACAGATTTTGATATTCTATTACAATATTGAGGAAATTTCATTTTAAACATCAAATAAAAAGAATTGGATGGTTTATTATTTAAGAAGTTATTTTATTTCATCTCGTGAACTTCATAGGCAGTTACTACGCCATTCGTGATAATACAGTTTTTAAACTTCACTCGATGAAGCTTAATTTCATCTTACACAAAACAAACAAATATCTTTTTTATCAAATATATTTTTTAACATACCTCCGGCATCAAGAATCATGTACTGAGTTCCTATCGATAACGAGGAAATATTACTTCCTGAGTCGCAATTTGTAGCTTCTATTGGTAAGTTACGACAAAACATTGACGCAGCTTCTGGTTCCAAAGCAATTGTTAGCCTTTTGCTTTTAATTCCAGCCTAAATGAAAATCATTCGACATTTATCAAACAAATAAATAAAAGGCAAAATCCGTGAAACATTTCTTAGTAGTTTTTTTCTCGTGCGCTCTTAGACTAATCCAATTGACCAGACGATTTCTTACATCGAAAGTTACTAATGGCTGTATATAAGACTTATTGCCACGTGTTAAAAAGGAAAAAAAATGTTATTATAGATTACCATTATTGCAGCTTCTCTCATAAACTGTTTCGAGCCATCTGTCCAAATAGCAGGAACTGTTAATACCCAGTGTATATCATCCATCTTTATGTTTCCTAAATGTCTGTCGGGTAAGACAGCTAGCAGGTCGTCTTTTAGGAATTTGATACTCATTGCAAACACGTCAAGGGCAGGTAGACATCGGTTCATAGCGTCTTCGAGTGTCATGTTTCTATCTAGTTTCTTAAGTAAATCATTATATTGCTTCAAAATGCTGTATGAAAAATTGTTCGATTTACAATCGCTAAATTAAGTCCTTGTTTTACGATTTCTTTTCATTTCTTTGATTGAATTAGCTCGGATAGGTTGAAAGGAATGTATATCTTCAGGATGGAAAAAGTGATTCCTATATAGCCCTCGCCAAATTATGTAAATTGCGTGTTATATGTGTTACTTGTTTAATTTGGTTTACGTTGCAACAAAACTGTGAAATTCTTTCCAGCTTTACTGGTGGAGGTAGACCGTGCACTGTTTTTTACACGAATGGGTTCCTGAGTAGAACCATCGTCGTTTCATAATCTAGCTAGCTAGTTTATTTACATGACAGAATCCAAAGTCTCTGGCGGGATCCAAAACATCAAGCATACTTCGATGTATAAGGGATGATCGGAAAGATCGTTGACTTTTTAAAGTGTCAGTATTTTTTCCCATTCCCTTAGTAGCGTTGACATTAAGCAACAAACTAAATCATGGAGTGTACGGACGAAGTTGATGCTATGAATTGAAGAAAAACGTACATACATCGACACCGAATATATGTCACCAAAATAACGCTCATGAAAATCCTCCTTTAAAACAGCTAACTTAGTTTTAAATATCTCTCACTTAGGGCTATACAGTTTTCACATTTATCAAAGCAGCTATACGAGGGTTGAGTTTTAAGAACGTCAACAAGTATTGCATGTATACGCACACTTTTGGTTCACCGTGCGACAATGACAGGTTCAGAGATACATACAATGAATGGTAACAGAGGCGTAAAAATGCAATCAGGGCAACGGTAATTAGGTTTAAAAAGTGTGAATGAATATCAGACGTTTTAAGTTGGTGTGTTCCGGTGTTTTGTTATAAGTTTTTTAAGCTGTATCTTTTTTGTTATTATTGAATGTGTTAACATAATACTTAAACGACATTTGCAAAGAAGAAGAACCTAAATGAATTTATATGCCATTCTGGAATAAAGAGATACTTTATAATGTTAGTCTACGAACACCCCGGTCGCCGCTCGTGCAATATAACATTACTGATTTCATTTTTAGCATTTCATATGAGCAAGAACAAGTGGCATGATTACCAAAGATTGATATACATATAGTTTCAATCCCATAAATCCTATTAGTAAATACTGATCAATTTCTAAAGTGACAATATGCTTATTTTTTCGTTCGCAGGTTGACCTTTAATGAATAAATATTTTATTAGTTTGTCTGTTATTATGGTGATTGACCAAAAATCGACATTGCAACATGTTTATGATAAAATATAAATATGTCTAAAATATAAAAAGACTGCCCACTCTTTAAAAAATTGAACGTTATAAGTAACTTCTTTTACTTGGGGACCATACGCCGCTTTTCATGGAATGGCACTACTGTGTAACATTGAAGGTTCTATGATAACCACCGTAAGAACACATCTGCGGATGTTTCGAAATTCAAAATTTCACCATTTTTGTGTCTAAATGTTAAATTCTGCTTAAGCCGGTGCTAGGGGGTGTGGACGGTAACTTGCACTTACCAGTACTACCGTCTATGAACAGACTCAATCAAACCGAGCCTGCAACATTTTCAATTTTGTCGTGTTTGGCTTTCTTGAGGGATTCTTATTTTCTCTATTTCTATGGCTATTTCGTAGAAATTTCCTTGAGCCATATGGGTTATCAATAATTCATGCAAAGTGAATAATATTATTGGAATAAATCATGACAAAAAATAAACTTATTTTGACTTTCACCCGTTTACTCACTATATACCCTTAGATTTGCATAATGTCACTTTAAGAGGTGTGAACACAAAGAATATTTTACAAAATAGGATATTAACGTTCAAAACATAAAAATATGGATTTCAGTTATCAAAATCGGAAAAAAGTAAAGTATTATATAAACCTCTCCAAGTTTTTTGCTCAACGACATCTTAAAGCGCCGGAAATAAAAGAAATCCATATGCTCTTCAGTTCCGGCTAAATCTTGATACCTATCCTCAGCTTCATATCCAAAAGCTTCGACTGTCTTTCCATCTGGTCGTATAAGAATACACGTGGGTGTCTTTTCTGTTTGAGCAGAGCCGGAGTTCCAAAGTTTCGTAGACGCTTTTGTCCGATCCGAGTCAAAGTTTGATCGAAGAGAATATGCCCAACCAGAATATGTTGTTCCAAAATCTATTGCCGCTACAATGGCTGTATTTGCGACCTTAATGTATGAATGCATCTATATTTCATCAGTGAAACATTTTAATTTCAATTATAATTTGTTGAAATAACAAAGTAACTGTGCGTTAAGGACTTTAATAAAATACAAATTTGCTAAACACTAAATACTAGACACTAAACATTAAACTACTATTATATCATATAACAATATTTAAGTACAGCTGCTGACAAAAATGTAACTGGTCAGGCAATTAAGAATATTGTTGCAATGTGTTTAAGACTACAATTGTACTATTTACGCATTAAACGTACCCTGTCATTTTTTTTCAACCTGCCCCAATCCAAGACAAATAATTCCTACATCTGTTTAAGCCGACTCCTTTTCATCCTTATAAAATATTACCTTCTTTTCAGAGAATTGGGTTTCAACTTCATACGTAAACATTGGTAGCGTGGTAAACTCTCCAAAGACGACAATTTCGTCAACGGAAGCATCTTTGGTTTTTAGATAATTTTAAATATCTGATATGACCTGCTCGACAAAGGGTTTGATAATTGCCTGTAATACTTCAGAGGTAAATCAGATTTTATCAGACAGAAGATATATACGCCCGGGATATTTTGATTTTACACTTGATTCGTGTGAGCGAAAGAACTCTTTAAAACTGTTCTGGAGTATGACAGGCAATATCAATCTGGTAATATTTGTCCCTGATGGCTCTGATGGCTCGTACGAAAACGCATTTTTAAACAACTCTGACCTGAATCAAGAATAATTGAATGAGGTTGAATATATAATTTTGATTTAAACATATTTTATTTCTCTTTTGTTACACATCTATAACATCATATTATTACAATGTAAACACAAAAGTAGCTAAAGGGTTGAAACAAGAGTTCTTACAACACCAGCAAACGGTTCTTCCCAGATATATGAAATTATCTAATAATGATAAGACAGTTACCAACCAAAATGAATTATATTATATATAAGCAGTTGGGGAAATATGCACAAGGAGAATTTTTTTTTAAAAAAGTCGGATACAGTTCAGTATGTAGGGATATTAATTCAGAGTGGCAAGTAGTATTTATATAGATAATATAAAAGTGTTAAGATTTAAATCTACACGATGATTTAATAAATTTTTGTACATGTACTTTGTCAAAAATAAATGGGGTATTCTCATCAGAAAGATATATTTACCAACCAAAAGGGTATTTACGATCAAAGGATAGAAACTGCGAGTTAAACGGAATGACTGCATGCACTCTTATTTCGTTATATTTGGGACATTTAAAAAAAATAATGTTCGACATCTTCAATACTGGAGTATGAATAAATGAATAAATCATTATTATTTTATCATAGTACAGAGGTCTTTTATTATACTTGTGTTTAAGATCAATCGTATACTCTATGGGACACAGTGTGTGTGAACTGGAATGTGGGTGTAAGTAACTTGCACTCTGGCTAGTAACCGCACTGCACGTAGGCTAGACTTTAAAAAAAGGTTAAAATTGAAACACATTTAATGCATTTAAAAAAATAACCGTTTAAATTTAAGTTCATTTTCCAAATAAAAAAGAAGTTAAAGATAAATAATTCCACAACAAATGAAAAATTCAAGCCAATCAGTCAGTCATTGTCTGTGCTTTTACTGAATGGAAGACGAGGTCGAAGATTTTATTAAAACACTAAGATCTGTTTGCGGAAAGCCCCCAGAATATTATACAAAACATAATCAAATGCTTACGACTAGTCCTGGTGTAAACCCGATTGTTATTGTAATTTAAAACCGAAGTGGGGTTTCCGTTCGTTCTTTTCACCAAGCACCTTATTTATAGTACATTTGGAGCAGGCATTGTGTTTCCAATAAAATGGCATATCAAAATGTAAATATATCACTTACAACTTGGACGTTTAAAGAAATCACTGATTGTACATCACAAACATTTAAGCTGAAATCTTCAAATCACTACCAGATTTAATTAACATTTCAATTTAACATAGCCGATGTCATTTAATTAGTTTTAATTAAAACAAATTCGTAACCGAAGGATATTTCTGGTAAGGACATTGCCCTGAAATGGGTACGAAATAACAAATGTGTACAAACATAGTTAACTTGTGAATTTATCAGCATTCTTGTATCATAGTTTGGTGACCTTTTTGTTGAAGAGGTGTCAGAGTTTAATCGGTTACTTTTTTCTGGGTTTTCATATTGTGACAACAGGGAACGTGTTTGTATATATGACAATGATACACAAGAGAAAAATCACTCGGCAATCTGATTAATATTCGGGGGCTACGCCCCCTCAAACAAATCAGATAACCCCGTGTTGTGATGCTCTTTCTGTAACTTAAAGAAAAAACTGCATGTATGTATGACTTAGTAAATCATATTGTAGAAATGATAGCTGTACTAGTTACTTCCCCTAAAATATGATCTTAAAAATATTTATCATTTAAAAAAAACAAGTCACTAAGAACAACTAACCACATCAAAACAGTTAGGAGGCAGGGAAATATTCGAACTATGGCCTTGTTGAAACTTAATAATAAAACTGGTGATATGTCTCAGTCTATATTGCTTGTGTGTAAAAAATGATCAGCATTTTGGGTATATAGCCGACACTAGGCATTTTGTTAAATTTATATGTATTTGTGTCTCTCCATTCGATGGTTATAAGGTTGTATAAAATCATTGAAATGACAGTGGTACACAATTAAGACACTTTGAATAAATGTAACAAAAATCTAAATGTTTGACTGACAGTAAATTTAGCATTTTTTGTGCAATCGGTGGGACAAAAAAGTATTAGGTTCCTAGCTCCCTTTACAAACGACTTAATATCGGCTTTTGTGGTGTTCGTCTGCTTCTCTTCCAAATATGTTTTTTCATATGCTTTAGTCAAATGATATTTTTGGTGGCCTATGCCATCTACCCGCTTTTACCTCTAAATAATGTGATGACACTCTCAGCCTTGTTAATGCTTTTCTAAATTTAGTAATTTTAACAATGTCTAATGTTTGTCCATTTGCATTCTAACATTTTAAACCAGTATCTTACCATACATATTAACCTATTAGAAAGTAAACTTGTTCGACCTAATTATCCATAGACAACATTATTGTGGGTTTGGGCACGCACTCCTAAAAGTTGTTTACAATATTGTAAATGTATTCTTTGTATAATATTTGTTTCCCTGATCCCCATATTTCACATCCATATTTTAATATAGGAACAACTAACTTATCGAGTGCTTAACATCAATATTAGTGAATTTAACTAAATAAGACTTGAGTTTGTATATTGCCTTAAACGCTGACTCGCTAATGCCTCGTGCGCGTTGCGCTAAAATAACCACCTGTGGTAAATGTAATACCTAAATTAGATTTTTTTAAGACTATTATATGTGCAGTTCATATTTCTTATGCTTGTGCCACCTTTTCTAAAAACAATTACCTTTGTCTTTTCATTAACTGTTTAGTTTCCATTTCATACAATAGTCAAATAAAAGGTCCAAACTCCAAACCTTTTTGTAAACTAGTTGCGGTTTCAGCAAAAATCACAATATCATCAGCATATAGCAAATCTAAGTTTATACCATCAAATCCATGTTATATCAAATGCTCCTCAATGTCGTTTAATTACATTGTGAATAAAAAGGGGAAATACATTCTCCTTGCCGGACGCTTAACATGCATGAAAAATCAGTGCTAACTGTATTTAGATGCTTAACGCTAGATTTTACATTATTATAAATTGATCTTATAACATCTAATATCTTTCCTTTAATGCCTTACTTAAGTAATTTATAGTGATATATTGATAAAGCGTTGATTTATTTTGCATGTACACTCAGCAATAGCGTATTAAATATCAGTGACAATCTTTAAAAAGCCCGTTTAGTATTTTTCATCCATGACTTACTGGTACAACCCTCGTATACTTCAGTAAAAAATAAAGTTAAAAGTGTTAATAGGATACATGTAGTATAAGTAATTTTATAATTAGAAAATAAAGACATGTGAGTTTGTATAGATATATACATCTGCAAAATATTTTTTCAAAAACACTGGATCCCAAGAAGGATACAAGAACGTAGACAGAATAACAAAAAACTGGGAGAAAATAGACTTTCATACAGTGCTAAAGCATAGATACCCAATTACTTTCGGTGTAGTATGCCTTCATCAGGGGTGTATTACATGTATAATATGCACACAACAGAGCACAAAATCTCTATACATGTGTACTGTATAGTATCAGAAATTGAACTGGTTGATGATATAAAAAATAGATAAATAATATAAACAAAGATATTTAATGAAATGAAATTTAATGTCATATTATCAAACGGTACATTCGCTGAATGTATCATTTCCACGAAAACAAGAACGTTTAAAGGTAACATAACATTGGATGTCTTTAAGTTTTCAAGAGTGTTTATCGTGTTCTCGCCATTTTTTAGCAGAAACATCCCTTGATGTCTCCCCAGCCAGTGTTATATCCTCGTAATCAACACGTTTTATATACTATAACTATAGTACATATAATACACATATACATATCCATCTACGTAACTACCTACGTATCTATCTATCTCTTTATCTCTCTCTCTATACCTTATTTATATGTAACAGCAAACTTCTGGCGTTGTTTCAATTTAAACCGAAACAAAAACGTTTAAGTATTTTCTCTAGTGCTTGTTGTAAATCCATTAAAAAGTTGGTGAAAAATGAGCTATGACAGTTATTTAGATATATGTTTGGCAAAGGTAAGCTATTTTTTTTTCTATTTACTATGTATACTCGTATATATTTAAAAAGTTAAACATCATATCTTTATATGATCTATCTATCTATATATGTATATACACACACCAGTAAGCCAAATAGAAAGTATAATCTACAAAATATTTTTTAAAAATGTTTAAGTTCCAAATAGAGAAAAACATAATCCCTAAAGAAAGCCCTGCGCGGCATAATTGAAAATGTTGCTGGCTTGGTTTGATTGAGCCTGTTCATGGACGGTACTAGAAAGTGAAAATTACCGTCCACGCCCCCTATCACTGGCTTAAGCAGAATTCAACATTAAAGAATGAAAATGGTGAAATTTTGAATTAAGAAACATCCGCAGATGTGTTCATACGGCGGTTATCTGTGACACGGTCCATGAAAAGCGGTGTATGGTTCACAATTAAAAAATACGTGTGCCCTAAACGAGAAAACAATGGGTGGAACTAAATAAAATAAAATGGAGTTTTGAAAGGGGATCTTAGGCTATGAAGCCTGCATATCACAGACAAGACCCCAAAAAGACAAATTTAAAAGCCTTACATAAAACTATGGTATAATGAAATTATTATGGTTACGCAAGGTCTTTGATGTGCTGTTGCAATTGTTTATTTCCTTTTAGATTTTTGTCTTAAGCATTTATCAATTATGTGATTAAAGAAGTTAATAAAGATTTCGTTTTTTAAAATATGTCCTATGTAATTATACGTTTTAAATTGAGACAGTATTGTTAGTTTAAACAATTACATCATTATCTAGATTCTCAAGTCAATGTCAAACAGTTTTATTGTCATAAACAGTTTACATGTTCATCACCCAATGGTTGTTTTGCGTTTTATAATCTAACGTAAAGATTGTATATACAAGTACATTCGACCCCCCCCCCTCTTTAAGGCCTCAAATAGTGAAAAAATTGTCCTGTTTTGGCCCCAAACACATGTTTTTGAAAAATGTTGATTAAAAAGTGCACACTTTTTTGGCGCCGCCCCCATCCAAACAGTTCATCAGGGGGTTGCCAGAAGGGGGAGGTGCCTGTTTGGGGGGTTTGAAGGGAGGTGGCAGCCCCCTCATCGCCAAGAAAATTTTGGACTTGTGAGAGACTAAAATTGACCCAAGGTCGATCATAAGGTAACGTGTCACCAACGCTGAAAAGCCTTTGACTCTATCTGAATCAATTGAGAACTTGCAGCAGTTTGAAATCAAATTTGATGGAAAAACCAACGAAAAATAGTGATTTTTGTCAATTTTGATTTGTCCCCTCGTTGCCATGGTTACAGGAAATATAAAGCTGAGCATGTTGTTACAAAGGCAGTGGTCCGGTCACTATAATTAACTAGGACCAATTTCAGGTTTGGATTGTGCCATTTTCTTTTAACAAAAAAAATTGCTAAACTGATCTTCATAACTTAAAGGATTAACTTTCATGATACACATATTCACTATAAGAGATGAACAGATTAAAAGATATTATTAATACTGCAATTCTATTACAACATAAAAATTTATTCCATTATAAGTTGCTATAGATAAAAATACACTTAGCACATTTATAGGCCTACAAATAAAAATAGCTCACGTATTTTTTAAAAAAGAGTATGACATGACCATATTCTATTTGAATTGAATTCTCCGGTAAAATTATCTGTAGCAACGTTTGTGATTAAATTTACTGTTATTCAAATGAAAGACCAGATATTATATTGTCAAATCAGGTTTGAATACGGTGATATAAAATCTGAAACCAATCATGTATCTGTAATGGTTTCAATGATATCAAAGTAATTGTACTTTCTTAAAGTAAATACATGTTCTCAGAGTACAGTAGAGATGATAGACAAATGATATCACAGACCTGTAAAAGTAAATAAAAGAAGACTTCTAAATATTTTTTTAAAATAAAAATTGGCTTAACTTCTGACAAATTTAATAGAAGAGTTGTAGAACTTTGGCACCTGTGTTTGCTTGTAAGAATCCATAAACATTTTATATTTCAAGCACATCCAATTATTTACTACTAGTAGTGTTACAAGTCAAAACTACTTTGATTCCGTTGTGATTGCTTTCACTTTAATATTATTTTGCAGTAATCAAAAACCTAGATATATAATAAATGTTTATAGAAATATAATAAATACAATGCATTCATAATGTTCAATAAACAAAGTGGATAAATCTTTTTCTATTTTAGTCTGTTTTAAAGCTGCAATTCTTCAGACGATCAAAAATGTATCACAAAAACAAACATGAAAAAATGTTCTTAGAATTTAAGAAAAGTAGAATAATCTCAATACGAGTAATAATTTGCATATTACTGTATATGTAATAAATGATTTTTTTTTTTGCAATATTATCGCCGTATTTCTACTGTGTGACTAACGCGGTATGGGTTTTTTTGCATGTTGCGACCTTTTTCTGTAAATTTACGTGGATAGTTTGTTTTTTGTTTGTTTTGGGTTTTACGTCACATCGACACAGTATAATTCATATCGCGACATTCCAATTTACTGGTGGAGGAAGACCTCAGGTGCCCTCCCGTGCATTATTTCAGGCACGAACGGGCACCTTAGTAGAACCAACGGCGTCAGCTTTAATATATATTTTATCCTAAACATTTGTCAATATCAATTATTGATAAGTCACCATAAATTGTCATTCTTTTGAAATACTACGCTAAGTCAGCAAATAAGAAATCATAATGTTGCTTTAAATGCTTTAAAAAAGGCATAACTTTGTTGAATACAAAAATTATGTATAAAACTTGACATGTTTATCTTGCCTGTGGCCCTTTCTCCATATTCGAAGTTTAAAAAGATTTCAAAATACTTTAATTGGATTCTTTAACATTAATATTATTTTCAAAGATAAACATATTTTGAAAAAGTTATATCAGCTTATATATATTCAATTCTAAAAGCTTTAACTTTTAGCTTGCTTATATCTGCAAATATTCATGTCTTAAAGCTTTAACTTTTGGCATGTTTAAAAGTAAGTTTGTGCGGTCTTAAATTCACGCATTCGCGGTTTAAAAAAAACCCTACTTCATAGCAATTTATATTTACTTGAAAAAATCTAGAAAAAAAAGAACAAAGATTTGAACAACTTTGCTCTTTCGAACGTTGTCACCTATCTCGCGTGTATACATGTCAATCAGAGTCAACTAAATGATTAACATGTAGTGCACTGATAATACAATAGAAGGTAAATTGTTATGTACAAATACACGAACAAAGTCCTTCGGCCTCTAGGCCGTCGTGTGATAAGATATACAAAAGATAAAAATACAATGGGGAAATTTGGCCTGTGTGTTTAACGTCATAAGGGCAAAACAAAATGATCTTGAGGTTCTGCTAACATGCTGAAAAATAATAGGGTAGATAGGTCGGAAAAACTTTTTTTTCATCAGTATTTTATTTAAATTTAATTGTATGTGAGATATATACACTATAGGATACTTCATTTTTGCAATAAAATGTTCTAGATAAGGTGCGGAAATACAGGGTCGGTCAGGTTACTGGAATCACAAGATCATTTTGTTTTGGCCTAATCTCGCGTAAATGAGTCTCGTGAAAATGTTCATTTAATTTTTTTAACATCAACGAATATCTACGGTGGCACAAAGGTGACATGTATGTGTTTTTATTTATCTCATTGCAACGAGATACTATGTCTTGGCCACGAGTTACTAAGTCGTGGCCACGTGATAGCTAAATCGTTACCACGAGATACTAAGTCGTGGCCACGAGTAACTTAGTCGTGGCCACGAGATAGCTAAGTGGTGGCCACGAGATACTATGTCGTTGCCACGAGATAAAAAGTGATGTCAACGAGATACTATGTCGTGGCCGCAAGGTAGCTAAGTGGTGGCCACGTGATACTATGTTGTGGCCACGAGTTACTAACTCGTGGCCTTGAGCTAGCTTAGTCGTGACCAGAAACACTACACAAAGGTGACATGTATGTGTTTTTATTTATCTCATTGCAACGAGATACAATATCTTGGCCACGAGTTACTAAGTCGTGGCCACGAGATAGGAGAGTCGTGGCCACGAGATACTATGTTGTGGCCACGAGTTACTAACTCGTGGCCTTGAGCTAGCTTAGTCGTGACCAAGAAACACTACACAAAGGTGACATGTATGTGTTTTTATTTATCTCATTGCAACGAGATACAATATCTTGGCCACGAGTTACTAAGTCGTGGCCACGTGATAGCTATGTCGTGGCCACGAGATACTATGTCGTGGCCACGAGTAACTAAGTCGTGGCCAAGAGATAACTAAGTGGTGCTACGAAATACTATGTCGTTGCCGCGAGATAGCTTAGTGTTGGCCACGAGATAGGTTAGCCGTGGCAACGAGATACTATGTCGTGGCAACGAGTTACTAAGTCGTGGCTAAGAAAGTATAAGCGCTATTTTTATTTTATATAAATGCCATCGAAAATGGTATTAAACTCGTCCAATGTAGTGCGACATATTTCTAAACGATACTAAATGTCGTTTTACAAAGACAGTAATCAATATTAAACTCCTCTTATTAGTAAGCGTTATTTTTAGACTACGTCATCCTATAAAAGCCCTATTTATCAAGACCACGTAGCACAACTTACGGTGACAGTATCGTAACAAGAGAACACTAATTTATGAAAGAATAGTGTCGCATGAATAGAGTAACGGTAAGATTTCTCGCGCTACTATTTTATTTTTTATACCTACTTGAAAGCAAATATTTTTCGTATAAGGGTTCCTTTGTTTAATATAATTATATTTAGATCTCTTGCGCTATTTTGTAATTATATTTTCGCAGGGTATGGAAGGCCATTAATGACATAGAAATAAAAATAAAAGCGAACGAGCCACTCGTTTTTATTTTGAAACATGGAAAACACCTTTGCCGCAGTATCTGAGACTTTGATTAATACTTTTACTGATGAAAGTCAGCTGATGAATTTTGCGGCAACTTGGGGGCAATACATAACAAAT